CACTTCTTAAATGATTTTAAATGATGATCTTTTAAAGAGAGATTTTTTTCTCTTTTTTTACATTTATTTTAAAGAGAGTAGTAAATGAGAAACAAACAAACAAAAAGATAGAGCAGTAGCAGCATACCAGTATCACGAACATAAACAAATCAAAACAAGAACATTTAAAGTGATACAGGGTCTCAAGACAAAATAATACGAATCAACAGTGGTTATTACATTACATATCACTATCCTCAACTACATTGCTCAGATTATCAGATGTAAGAGTAAAAGACTGCTCAAACCATTAAAGAGAATAAGAAAATAATTCTTCCATAAAACATTAGAGATAATACAGTTTCACTAGACAAGCTGGTAGGAGTTCACCATTGTAATTCCATTGCACATTGTTACCTTCAAATCAGTTGCTCACACCACCAGACACAAGCATGCAAAGTCGATCAGAACATAAAAAATTGTAATCAATATCTGTTCATTTCAATATACCATCAGACATCAGCAATATAGTCATTACAGCTATTCATATAAATATTTATATTTTATCTTCCTTCTTTCTTTTTTCTTCTTTCCCTCATCCCTTCTTCCTTCCTTTGAGCAGTTCCTTTCCCTGTCCTATCAATCTATAGTATGTTTTGAGTTTTACCTAGTCTTTCAGGTTCCTACACCAAGGAGACAATATGCTGTTTACACACGTGGGGCCGATTTATTTCACTTATGAGTATGGTCTCCAGTTGCATCCATTTACCTACAAAAGCCTTGAGTTTATCTTTTTTAACAGCTGAGTAATACTCCAGTATGTAAAAATACCACAAGTTTTTTGTCCATTCCTCAGTGGATGGGAATCTGGGTTGTTTCCAAGATTTAGCTATGAGAGATTTGTTTTCTTTGGTACCAGGCATCGAACTCAGGACCTCACGCTAGCCAGGCAAGTTCTGTACCACTGAGCTAAGTCCCCAGCCCTAAAAGAGATTTATTTATCAATTATATTTTCATCTTAAAAGTCATCAGTGAGAGATTGGAAGCCCATGCCAAACAGCAGATTTTGCAAGGGGGTTGGCATGTTAGTCACTTTTGACCACAGGGACTCAGTGGTGGACACTCACAAGTTGAAGGAGAGAGGTTTATTGTAGCTCACAGTTACAATGCAGAGCCAGCTGGCTCCAGAGCAGGAAAGGCATGGTGGACGGGGCTGGCAGGGGAAAGCTGCTTACATCATGGCAGCCAGGAAAGCAGAGAGAGAAGAGAGCATTTGGGTTGTTTCAAGATTTAGCTATGACAAATTGTGCTGCTATAAACATGGGTGCACATATGTCGCTGTGGTATGATGTTTTCAATTCTTCTGGGAAAATACCCAGAAGGAATAGCTGGGTCAGATGGGACCTCTAATCCTAGTTTTTTGAGGAATCTCCGCAATGTGGCATTTTTATACAATAGAGTACTACTCAGCTATAAAGAAAGATAAACTCAAGGCTTTTGTAGGTAAATAGATGCAACTAGAGACCATACTCATAAGTGAAAGAAATCAGACTCACATGTGTAAACATTGTATTGTCTCCCTAGTGTAAGAAACTGAAAGAGTAAATAAGATACAAAAGGAACAATAGATATTGTGAAAGGGAAAGAAGCTGCTCAAAAAGGAAAGAATAACTAGGATGGGGGAAAGTAGAAAAGAAGGAAAGAAAAAAAATATATATATAAGATAGCCAAGATAACTGTACTAATTTCTATTAGTTCATTGAAAGGAACAGTTAGTGCTAAAATGAAAAAAGAGAGAGAAGGGAGGCCCAGGGGAGAGACAAGCACCCTTCCAGGTGCTGTTCCCCAGTGACCCACCTCTCCTGACTAGGCCCCTACTTCCTAGCATCATATTTAGCTACAACACCCCCATGATCCAGTCACCTCCAGAAAGCCCCACTTCAGAGTTATGGGGGGTCATTCTTGATCTAAATCATTACAATATGTAAAACGACAATGCTAAAATACTTACCTAAAAAAGGCAGAACTCAGAGACTCCAAGTAGCTGAGCATGAAAGGGTACCAAGTGTCTTAAAAAGAGGGATATTGAAAACAAAGACTAGGGAGATAACCTGGAGACATGACCCATTCCACAGGTTTCCTTAGGTGAATAGGGCGATAATATTGAGAAGTTATTTTGACCTTGGGATCTTCATTTCTTTTCCTCTGTGATTCTTGGATAGATGCTTCTGTTTCTGGTATTCCAGCCTTGTGGGTGGACTCTCCCCTTTTCATTTAAATTGATTCCTTCAGTTGTGCAGCAAAACAGTTTGATATGACATCTTGCGACCAGACATAAATATCTGACATCTACAGTATTGATGCTGAGGCTGGGGATTTAGCTCAGCGGCAAAGCGCCTGCCTGGCAAGCGCAAGGTCGTGAGTTCAACTCCTGGTACTGGGAAAAAAAAAAAAAACAATCAAGTACAGTATTGATGTCAAAGTATATTGAGAAGATGGAGAAAACACTCAAAAGTGAGGGTTCCCCCCTCCCCAGACTGCCCATGCACAGCACTGGAATTTCTCATGTACTTCAGCAGGACACTACAAGTCGGGGGATTTTAATGTTGACTACAGCTCCTTATTTGCCTGGATTTAAAGCCCCAGTGGCAGTTCTTTATGGAGTGTCTAGATCTCCTATGAGTCTCTCAGGACTTGCAGGCCTCTTCACTCACTCTATCTTGTTGCTGTAACTCCTTCCTAAGGGTACAGGTTCAGTCACATTTTCTTTATCTCTTGGGGCATAAGCAGTTGCCAGTTCTGCAAACACCCGTTCTTGGTGTGTACATTTTTGTGCGTGGTGCAGTCATGTCACTGATCTTACTCATCACCTACGTGAAGGGACTTTGCACCTTTTTAAATTACTGTCGAGCAAGTCCTCTGCCCTTTCTAACCACTGTAGAGTATTCAAGAGTAACTTTTCCCACCAGGCAGAAAGTCAGCCCCTTTGGAGTTTCATGCATTTCACTAATTTGCAACACTTGTCTAGAGCTAGGGGACTTAAATTTAGTTTCATTTGCTATTAGCTGTGATTCATTGGTCACTAAAGTTCATGATAGCAAATCCCCTCACTAAGGCTTTACCCATAGTTTATAGCGTATCATTAAAATAAATGCTCATTATCCGGTGACAAGGACTTCGCTGAAATTGAAGGAAAGGGTAATTCTTCAGAGATACTAGAGTGCTCCAGAAAATATTCTCTCATTTGAATTTCAGTGAATTTTTCTTTATTTAGTACTGGTAACTATTTCAGAGTCTACACAGTTAAATGAGTGCTTTATGTCTTGGTGCAGTCTGACTGCTATAACAACACGCCAGAAAATGGGATGGTTTGTAAACAAAAGAAACTTATTTCTAACAGTAACAGAGGGTGAGAAGACCAAGGCACCAGCAGTTTTGGTGTCCAGGAGAGGACTGCTTTCTTGATGAGAACATCTTCTCCCTGTCCTCATAGGGCACAAGGGGCAAGGTAGCTTACTGGTGCCACTTTCTATAATGACCTTCATGGGGTTGGCCCCACCACCAGAGCCTTTACCTTGGGGATTAGGATTTTAACATAGGAAGTATGAGGAGCAGAAACATTTAGACCATAGCACTCTGTTGGTAAACTTCATAATCTTCTTTATACACACACACAGACACACACACACACACATACACTTTTTACAATCAAAGAGGAAAGGCTCCATAGTTAGTGTTTGGTAAAGGGCTACACACTCTAAGAAAAACTTTGAGGTGCAAATAAACCCCTCTCCAGTGTTTACTGAGTCCCCACATCCAGACTATTCCTGTCTCAGGCAATGTCTCCAAGAAAAAGCAATAAATGAGATAAACGTACTCACGACAGAGCTGAGTTCTAGAAACTTGATCTGGACTTCAGTTCCAACCTCAGTACACTGTGTGCTTCCTCATATGACTACTTTCGAAAGCATGTTACATTCCTCACAGAATCAGGACAAGTTCTCTGTGACCAGAGCGTCAGTTTGCATTTTAATATTTAGCATTGTGCGATCTGTCTTGTAGTCATCTGCTTTGGAAAGTAGTACAAGTCGATTTCATTACATGAAAGTGAAATACACTGAAATTCATTATTATTTTGCTGAACATAAATCAGAAAATAGATTCAGTATACATTACCTCAGGTCTGACATTTCAAGCCCCTTAGCCACGTGTTTCAGTAAATGTATTTTCTTGTTCATTTACTGCCTCATTTTGAATCATTGCCTCTACCCCATATGGCTGTTGATGTCTCTCCCTTCAGCCTGGATGAAACCATTTCTTCCCAAAGGTGAGCATTTCTATAAAAGAATGGAAAACCTTGACCTGACCTGCACAAAGCGCTTGCTTATTATCACAGTGTAAAACTCAAAAGGACTCATGAAAAAACTCTTTTATAATCTCTCTTTAATTCAAACATACCATTTTATTAAAATACAAAGAAAAACATAGTATCTCCAATATTTTCATAGACATTTTTCTATCTACTTTGATATTCTCAGCGTCTACAAGATTCCAGCTTAGATTTATTCCTACTTGATTTATACTTTATTGTGTGACTTCACATATTTCCAACTTCACAATGAAAATACAAATTAAACATCACATGGTTTATCTAATCTGAGAGACCCAAAAGATAAATAAATTCAAGAGCAAAATGAAAGAGACATGTTAAGAAATGGGGATAGACCCTGTGGAGATGAGGAGCTCTGAGAGAGGTGTAAAAACCATCAAGATGTGATCACAACTGAATGGAATCACTACATGGAGTATAATCGTACATTAATTCTAAAAAAAATTAAATGTATGACCTTGGTTTGACTATAGAGATATCTACATTAAAGGTAAATTTTAATGATTTTCGATTTCCCATGTTAGGCAATAATTATTAAAACGTTTTGCGATGACACAGCAGTACGGTGAGTTCTCATCCTCCTGCTGGGGCCGCTCCAAAATCATGTGGGTTGTTCTGTGTGTTCCCTCAGGAGATCGAGTTGTGTCGTGTTAGCAGTCAAGAGAAGCTGGGCCTCACAGTCTGCTACCGGACGGATGATGAAGAAGACGCCAGCATTTATGTCAGCGAGGTAAAAAATGCTGCAGAGGGGAGACCCAGGCAGGAGGAGGCGAGAGATAAAGAGAAAGGACCGCGATGAGAAACTCTTCCTCCAGAGAGGCTGGAGTGTGAAGAACTGGCTGAGTTCCAAAACTTGTCACTTTCAATTAGGAAAGTAAATTATGCTGCCCAAGAAATGTCATTATCATCAGCTTGTTTAGTGTGGATTCTTTCGCCGCAGAACCCCAGCCAGGAAAAGTGAAAATGGTAACATTATCTCCATTTGAATGCCGCTCCCCAGAGTACAGTGATGTTGAGCAAAGTTTTAACCTGCAAACATTTGTCCTTCCAATCGTTACAGCCTTTGTTATTCTGGTAAGCGTAGCACAAGGGTGATCATTGTAAGCTAACAGTCACAGTAGTCACATCTGCTGTGCTGGTGATGGGATGGGTACATGTAAATATTCAAGGGCATCTGTGAGTGTATTTGACACCACAGCCACTTTCAAGAAGGGAGGGGCAGGGGCTGGGGATTTAGCTCAGCGGCAAAAGCGCCTGCCTGGCAAGCGCAAGGTCGTGAGTTCGGTTCCCGGTACCAGAGAAAAAACCAAAAAAAA